CAGCCAGCCTGGCTGGGGAATTCTGGAAGTTGAAGTCCACACATCTTAAAGTCACCAAGGTTGAGAAACACTGCTGTAGGCAACCCTATTATTATTCAGGCTCCCTTTGATGGGCTGGCTCTATCCATGCCAACAGTTGTCCTTAAGTCTGTGGGTAGTGGCAATTGGCATTGCATTCAGCATCTTAGGAATCTGCTTTCTGAGTTGTTCTTAAAGCCTGTTTCTGGTTTTCTTGATTGTTCATCTGTTACATTAGTATCCTAGCCTTCTTCCACAATGGTGATGCATATATCTTGCTTAAATCCAGCAAGGTTGCTGTTTCATATACTAACACAGGGGGATTAAGGAATACTTTTTCTGGCCTTCATTTCCCTGCATTACTCTCTCATGTACCTTTCTTCCAGGATAAACATTGAAAACTTTGGAAAAATATGCATTTTCAAAAGACAGTTCTGCAAACATCAGCTAAGCTATCTCTGGCCATTTCAGCAGCATAGTTTAATCTGGGTACAGGTCATTGTGAGCACTGTCCCAATACAGAATCTACTACTTTGTGCTGGGACTGAAATGACTCACCGGGATCAGCAGGGCACTTAACCCTTCCTGGGACATTTCCATCTGGAAGGAACTGCTACTCTGGAACTGGGTGCCTATGGGAAGATACAGTGACAGCAGGCAAACAGGACAGAATACCATCAGTAAGGTTACGGTAAAATTGCATCTTGTAATTCTTGCTTTAGTCAAGAAAACAAACAAATGGGTCATTGGACAAATCAACCCAGAGTCCTCACTCTAGGCACAAATGGCTAGGCTCAAACTATCCTACTTCGGACTCATTATGCAAAGACTGAGCTCTCTGCAGAAGTTTATAATGCTGGGAAAGGTAGAAGGAAAGAGAAGAAGAGGATGGCCAACCACACGGTTGTCTCAGTTACAGTAGCAATAGGTACATTGTTGGAAGACTTGGAGGACATGATGGGGACAGATCCTCCTACAGCAAATCTATCTATGTGGTTGCTAAGAACTGACATGAAACTAAAATGCTGAACCACCATCTTTTAAAACCCTCCCCAAAATAACTAAACCAATCGTTTTAAACCATAAATCATTTTAAATAAGATACAAATTCTCGCTATGCCAGCAGCTGATTCCTTCCAAGTTCCAGTTTTTCACAAAATTCACAACTTTTTCCATCAGGAATCAATTGGCTGAAGTTTAATCTCTTTTGTGTCTCATTTTGATTCATTCCCAGTATTCTCTACTGTTATCCAAAATAAGTGCCAGGGGAGAATTCATGTTCAGAGGGAATATGCCACTCCACCAGAAAATATTAGGGTAGGGATAATTAAGCGGTAGATGTAGTGGTTGAGGCATCAGCCTCGAAACCAGGAAACTGTGAGTTCTAATCCCGCCTGAGGCACGAAGCCAGCTGGGTGACCTTGGACCAGTCACTTTCTCTCAGCCCTAGGAAGATGGCAATGGCAAACCACTTCTGAAAAACCTTGCCAAGAAAACTGCAGGGACTTGTCCAGGTAGTCTCTGAGAATCGGACACGACTGAACAGAAGAAAAAAAAAAAAAGATGCTTGTTATATCTCTACCTGAGTACCTGTTTTAGGACAGTCCCCAAATCAGAAGCTTGTTCAGATCAGTAATACACAAAAGCATAAGAAATGGATAAGCAATGGTGCAAGTGGATGATTCTCCCATTCTCAAAATTACACATCTTCCTTCAACCTCATTTCAGCAAAAACTTTGTACGTGAACCTGCCTCAAGAGGAAAGAGAGGAAATAGCAAAAGAGATGTTCCTGGTTTTTTGTTTTTTTTTTCCTTATAGCTCCAAGATTACCTTCAATGGCAAAGATTTTGTTCTGTAACTGGTCCTGGATGCTTTTCAAAGCGTTAAAATTATTTACTTTGAAAACATGTTCATCATCTGGCTCAGAAGCAATGTCTTTCAGTTCCTGTTGGACTTTGGTGGTTGAAAACGCACTGCCAACCTTAATGTGGGAAAAAAGAGAAGGGCATCTCAAAGTGTGCTCTCCAGGCCCCATGGCACTCGTATAAGTTTATGCCATGTAGTCATTGCATTTAACAAATATTCAGCATGGCAGAAAAATGATGGCAACTGAAAGTGATTTAACAGTCACTTTCTCTCTCCAAGAAATCTTGGAGGTTATATATACCATAACTATATGCATTATGATTCCCATGTTAGTTGCATGAAGTCCTAACACTGAAATCTAAAGCAAAATCAGTATAAATGAATAATATAGGGAATTCTGGGAGTTGAAGTCCACTCATCTTAAAGTGGCCAAGTTTGGACAACACTGATATAGGTAGAAAGTAATATGCTTTTAATAAAAAAGAATTCATTGTGCTGAAAGACACACATACAAACAAGTTTGAATTTTTTTCTACTTTCTGAATTTCTTAACTTGGGGCTGGGATGGAGAAGATAAAAGGACCTGAGGACCCCACCCCAACCCTAAATTATACACAACTGAAATCAGCTGCTGGTTCTTCAAAGGTCTCAGAGGACCGCTAGGTCTTTTCAAGTAAAAAAATCTCAGTGTTCACAGTTCAGAAGAACTGTTGTTAGTTGTTGGTGTGGGTGTGAGGAGAAGAACAAGTCCTACAGCCAGAAAAATAAAAAGAGGAATCAAATAAATATTTTTGTTTTTAAATCTCCCAGATTCAGAACTTCCAAATTTCAGAATTTAGAATATTAAATTTCAAAATTAATGCCTCTGTAGAAAGAGTTACCTATTTACTTTAGACAAGGAATTTCTGCTGATTGCCAGACAAGCAGAACATTGCATGGGAAAAAGAAAGTGAATTAAATTCTACTCATTTCTGGCCTGTTCTCTTACAATGTCAGATATTTTTAAGCATTGAAGGTGACTCAGAACCAAACCACATGTTATTTTTCATACTTCATGTAAAAAAACAAAAACAAAAAACCAGGCTTTTGGCAGCATCTGGCCATCATTCAGAAGCTAAGCAGGGTCAGGCCTGGTTAGTTCTTAAGATGGGAGAGCATTAGGAATCTCACTGCTGTAGCTAGACTGGGAAGTTGAATTCCCTCCACCACCACCACAAACTGGCTTCATCAAACTCTAAAAACATAGAGAGGTAAATGTGGAGTTTTGCCTTCCCAGGAGCAGGGAGTGGGGGGGATCCAGGAGTTCCTAGAACTGACTGATAGACAGTACAGACAGATACATATGCACAGAATCATTCACAAAACGTGTAGACAAGTAAGCTGTTTCTGAATGAGTTGCCTGAAATACAAAAGCACACCCATCCTTGGAAGGGTAGGATTTCTCTATTTTTACACAGTGCTACTGGTTTCGTCCTTATTGGGCCAGAATCCTATAGAATAACATCTGGCTACCTGAATGTGACCATTCACAGTAAGGATGAAGCTGGTAATGTGATACCTCTTGGTGGTCAATGTAACTGAAATACAAAACGAATCGTATTTTGTCACTGGGGCTCCTTAGAAGATCTCACCCCAATAGCATAACGGATGATCCCAGCTTGCTCAGCCTCTGGTATCACCTGCCAATACTGAGCAGGGTCATTCTTCTTGCTTCCATCGGTTATCACAATAAGGATCTTTGCAGCCCCGTTCCGGGATCCTTTTTCTGGGATAAACAGTTCCCTCCTTGAGAAGAAAGGGGAAGGAAGAGAGAACTGTGATTCAGTTTCTGTAATATTTTCCAAGAATACTGACCAGTGGAAAGGAGGGAAAGGAAAAGAAAGGAGAGAGAGAAGGAGAGGGAAGACTATGAGAAGAAACCGGAAGGAGAAAGCAAGGATTTTCAGTGGGAGGGAAGGCTCCGAGGGACAGAACATACACAACTTTGCGGATGGCTGTGGCTGTTTTGGTCCATCCGTGCAACTGCTTCACTTCCATTACAAGGCGTGCGGGGTCTTGACTGTTGAAATTAAAATGTTCCTTGAAGTTCCCTGAAAACTGCATGAGAGCAAACTGGTGCAAGAAAAGAAGCATATGGTTAGTATGTCGTGTTCTGCATGGGGGTCACTCGAAAGGATAACGGGGGAATGGAAACATACTGTTTTGGAACACTTTTCTTTTGAAGTTCTCAACTGTGGCAGGTCTATTCAGGCCATAGGCAAACTTAGTCAACTTTTCCAAAATCCAAACTTGAAAAGCCAAATTTAGACATAAACAGAAGCATAAGAGGATCCTTTTGAAAAGAACATGCCTTCTTGATGCTTTTTCATAAAGGAAATTATATTGACTGGTTGAACTCAGTACGTCCTCTGCTTGCTATTCTAAGCACTTGTCATCTGAGGTTTTAAAAAATTAATTTCATGATTATTGTGAGTAAATGTCACTTTAAACCTGACTGAAGCCCCAATGTTTGTACTATAAATGGTATAAATATATTGGGTTTTTTCCAGTGCTTCCCAGAATAGCCAGAGATGATTGCCTAAGCAGTAAAGACTCAGAGGGGCCTAGCAGACCTTTGCTTGAGTCACTGTTACTCAAACCAGCACCTGGGATATCCTTATCTTGAATGCACCCAGGCCAGAACATCATTGGTGAAGTACAACTCCCCCAAACTCTTATTTAAGGAAGATGTCAACATCTGATCATGAATAAAAATAGTAATCTACTACTATACAATCTATCTTCTATCTAATCTCCATGCTTAACAGTTTTCTGAGTGACTTTCCCAGCATTCTAATCTGAACTCTGCCATTGATCATCCATCCATCCTTCTTCCTGTTCCAGAAGCTTAAGTAGACAATTTTAGCTTCTTAATGGATGTATATGCATTATGCAGGGCTTAAGGATATGCAGAATAATCACAAATAAGAAGAAAGGATCTAGCGTTGCTGGGAAAGTATATTGGCCCATTGAGCATTTCTATTTTGACTTCCAAGCCACTCTGCAGGATCTCAATACCACACAGGATGTCTATTGGGGGAGGGGGGGAGGGGAGGTTCAAAAAAGCTGGAATGGCAGCCACAACACATGCAAAATCCTACCCCTTGTGTATACATGCATTGCATATGCACCACACTTACAAAAGGGGGAGGATTTCAACAGGGTCGTCATGACCCCCATCTTGATTTTTTCAACCTTCCCCCATGGATCTTTTCTACCATGTGCTGTTTGACTTTTTATATCCTGGAGAACGAACCTGCAATATTCTTCATGCAAAATATACACTTGGCCACAGAGCAGATGTTCGGTTTCTATGTGGATTTAACAATTGAGCAATCATTAACAGAAGACTAATATCCTGCAGAGGCAGAACATCTGGAGGAGGGTATCAAAACTGGCAAGAGGATGGATGGAATGTTGCGATGCAAACATTCCAAAGGGGGCGGGGCTTGCACTGTGCATTCCGTCCACCATTTTACCTTAACCCTTTCATTTAATAGTATTAACAACAGAAAATGTTGCTAGCAGCCACTGCAAATGACAGGGGCACAAATGGAACAAGTGATACTTTGATAGCAGTGGATTGGGACATGACTTGGCCCAGATCACTGGAGAATTGGGCAAGGTGGACCTGCAGCGTGGCCCTCCTCCATGTCCATTACCTGTGTATCTCTGCCAGAGAGATTCTCGATGACCTCAGAAACAAATTTCTTCATTGTTTCAAAATCTTTTTTCTGGATGCTGCTAGAGCCATCAATCAGGAAGACAATGTCAGTTGTATGAGGGGTGCATTCTGATGGAAGATATATATAGAGAGAAGCACAAATACATTTATATGACCCATCGTGCTACTCCCTTTCTAGGCCCATCAATATCAGCCTCCATTACCCAACATGGTGGTGGTCAGTTAAAGCTTTCACATAACACCTTTTATTAAGAGAAGGAAAGAACAGACTTAGTTACCAACCTTAATCATATCCATGCCCGATGCAGCAGTCCCTACTAATTGTAAAACCAAAACTGATCTACTTTGGCACATTTTGGCTGATATGCCCCAGGTACAATCCAAGTCCAGATTTATCCATGCATACTCACACCATTAGAATCTTTAATCTAGAGATTATTTTGGAAGCCACCATATTCACATGGCATCAGTGAGGAAGTCCATGCTGTGTCACGGTTTCTTCAGGAATCACATTTGGGGGCTATTTAGAAATGTGGACTCCTCATGCTATTTTATATGCTTAGTTTCCCATTATTTATTATTAAGTGCAGTGGTTTACATGAGAATAATTAAATGGCTTAATATGACACAAATTATCTGTTGAAAAATACACAGGAGATGTATGTTTTCATGGGCTTTTTTGTTTTCCTCCTTTCTACCTGTTTGTGAGGGCTAATAGAACTTACATAAAATAGAATTTGAACAGAGGGAGAGACATCACTAGGGAACAATGAGTTTCTCAAGGAGAAAAGGAATTTAAAAGAGGAATCTACATTTACAGTGCATATATTCAGTTCTGTTTTGCTTAGATAATAGAGCTTTATTCCTGTTTCCTATTGCCAATGTTTCTTTGGTTTCTCCAAAACATGAAATCAAAGGTATACAAGAGTGCAGAGCATTTGTAGCATTGTCTCTTTCAAATTGGAGAGAATAAACATGATTAAAATAAGCTGTCGTCCATCTCTGTTTCCACATCTGGGAAGAGGAATATCACACCCTCCATCATCCACAGACTTCATATGAAATGGTCAGGAATGAGGTACAATATCCTTCCTTCCTTCCTTCCTTCCTTCCTTCCTTCCTTCCTTCCTTCCTTCCTTCCTTCCTTC